CAATAAAGCTGTCAACAACAAATAAGGCAAATCCAAACGAGACCAATAATAAACACTAGACACACAGAATAAACTAACACATTAATCATATAATCTTAACATAGTTTTAAAAAACGCATAATAATCAAACTTTACTGGATTTGTAAACATTAGATAACAGAATAATTGCGCTTGTCATTTGTTTAACTAATAAATAAATGCATTACTTAATTTTGGAATTTAAGAAAAAAAACTCTACCACAAAACGTGCTTGGGCAACACAATAACTAATAATAAAAAAAATTGTTAGAAATTTCGCACTTCTGCGGCAATAAACAATTAAAAAAAAACACCAAAAGCTACAAGTTACACCCAGCGACTGAACTATCTATTGATGGTTTTTGGCATCAAGACTGAGGACACGGGCAATGACAATAACGAACAAGACGAAGACCTCGACTAGGAAACTTCACCCCTGCAGCGAAATAACAACTCCCGAACTCCAAATAGTAATCCCAAATGTTTGGGAGTAATACTAATCGACTGGTCTAGGGGGATTCTGCGTCGTACTTAGTTTTAAGTCGGCGTAATTGTCCCCCAAAAACCAACACCTTCCCGTCCCTCCTCCATACCCCACTGAGCGTATAGCATAGGCTCGGCAAACCCGGGAATGGCTATTATAACTATTCGCCTCTTGCTCTCGAGCCCCAAATAGGGGACAGTACGGAACGCAATGGACATTCGCACCCAGCAAACACGGGTGAAGCCGTGCAGTTGCTGGGGAAGAACAAAAATCGGCGTAAGTAAACATAGGCCTGTACGGGGTTCGAGAGTCAAGAGGAAATGGGGCTGGTTATACGTCTCTTATACTCATATACTCATAAAGAGTTATATGAATCGGAAAATTTTCTTATGTGTATAATGTCTATCAAGAGGAATAAATTAACGACTTATGGCCTTTAAATGGATCGCAGCAGACTTCACCAAAAAATTTGGTAAAATAATATAAAGACTTTAATTTGTGATACCTACGTACAAATATCGGTTACAGTTGCATCCACTTGCCATTTTATTAAATCCTTTTCCTCTTAGTACAAGATTCAATCTTGGAAAATCGCAAAAAATATTTTTATCCGAAATCGGCAGTAAAGTAGTCAACAATCGGTAAAGTAGAACTTTTTTAATAAAAATAATAAGTTCATTTTATTAATTAGATTAAAAAATCGCCGCGACGGGCAAATATATAATAACCGTCGGAACAAACTGTATACGTAGACACCATACATTCAAATGAAATTTGATTTGATTTGATCATCAAATGACTTTTGATTTAATCATCAATATTAATTATTAGTATTATTAGATGTGATTTCGGATAAAATTTAATATGCACCTCGGCATTAAAGTCATTTTTTATCACTCACGTGGTTATTTGCCTCGGCTTTCGCCTCGGCAAATAATTACGACTTACTGCCTTGATACATAAATAACTATTTATGGCATTTTTCATTAATTAATTTTCCAACGGAACAATCCATTTTTGGACACTTCAAACTATTTGACACTTTTAAATGAGAGAAATTGGTGTAGGTATAAACTGTTTTTAGAAAATTATGCACAATTAAATAATGTATTATTTTAGTTTTTGTTTATTTACAAAAGGTAAAAATTAGTATGTTTAGAGTAAGTAGGTTAGTTTTTATGAATATGTAAAAATTTCAATATCTTAAAAATATTTTAATTATTAAAACAAAATCTTAAAATCTGTCTCTTGTGAATTAGAACTCAATTCAAGTCTTGCTACCAAGTTTTTTTATAAAATATATATTTAATATAATATTATGGATTTATATTAATATAATCCACATTTTAATAATAAAATTAATAATAGAGCCATTCCACGCGTAACGGATAGGACAGTTGCCGTGTTTTTATTTACAAAATAATATTGTTCTATTATATTACCAATGTCAAATTTTTATAAATAGTTCTAAACTATTACAAAGTCCCGTCCGTTACGCTTTAAATTATTAGTTTTTAAGGAATTAAATAGTCAACCACGATACCTAATTTTGCCAAATAAAAACCTTGTTAAACAGCTTTTGTTTAGAACTATTTATAAAAATTTGACATTGGTAATATAATAGAACAATATTATTTTGTAAATAAAAACACGGCAACTGTCCTATCCGTTAAGCGTGGAATGGCCCAATATTATAATCCATATTATGGATTTAGTCAGGTGGGCATATTCTGTATTTTCTTATAGCTGGGCTGTAGATGATTCAGCCACAGCCCAGTTAAAAGCAAAATACACAATAATTTTATTCATTCAAGTTCGTATAAATCGACTCACTCAAACATAGCCTTTTTAAACCATGGCTGAAAATAGCGATTTTTCGAAAACATGCATTTTTATTATATTTTTTTGAACTCGTAGGCAATATTATTTGAAAATGTTTTCATTGCTTTTATATAGAGTAAGATCTTTGGTAACAAACTCCATTAAAAAAAATTTGCTGGCAAGTTGTTCTAAGAATATATGAATTTATAAAATTAGACAATTTTGCCAAAAAATTGCATTTTTAAAAAAATTCCCAAAGACCATTTAGGGCATCAATAACTAAATGTGTCCCATATGGTTTAAAAGAAAAATATTTTCTTAACAATTAACAGTTTGTTTAATGTCGATAGCTTTATTAGCAAAAGAAGTACAATTTTTTAAAGTTAGGTCTGCACAGTAACTTTTGCATAGCCCTGTATAAATAGGTGAAGGGGGGAGAAAAGAAAAGGTGACTTTTTTTACTTCTTGGGTCCTTGTCTATTTACAGTTAAAAAAAAAATTTAGAGGATATAAGGTGCACTCATTGGTGGCTAATAAATGGGATTGCCCCAAGTGGAGAATTCTGCCTAGCCTATCAAATTCGCACCTTTTACTGTTTCACCACAAAATTAAAGCAAATTCACCCACTATCAACATCATGCAAAGTACAGTAGACATCAACATCACGTCGTTACCTCGGAATTACAATAGACACCAAGCTAAGCTTCAAACAACATACTAGCGAGACCAAAACAAGTGTTGTAAGTAGGGCAAAACAATTTAAAAGCCTTACATATAAAGACCAGGGCATAAATAATAAAACGGCTGCATCCATTTAAAAAACTGATCTGTCGGCCAGTGTTGGAATATGGATCTGCACTCTTTCAAAATTGCAGAAAACCGACCCTCTCAAACATCGAGATAGGAGAACATACAAGTCTGAGGAAAATACATATGTATTTCATATTTTCAATATTGCACAAAAATTTGCAAATAAAAATCATAACTTCACTGTGATGGAACTGTTGATATACCTAACAAATCTTGAGAACACCCAAAAGAGGAAATACCCTGATAGGCCACTATATGACACACTGAAGCTATGGGCGGAAGAATAGCAGCTTACACTGATTTATTTTATAATACTTTTTTTTTTGTAAACAAATATCAGTATATTCTAAATATTATAAATGTGTTGTAAATGAATATTTATTGTAAATAGGCAGAAGGACTAAGGTCATTAGCCTTTTGGAGTAATCCAATAAAGTTTATTTTATTATTTATAATTATTTTTCAGGACTTTCAATGTCAAATTTAAAAATTAGTTGTTTCTTGATAAAAAGGTTGAAAATTAATGCTGTCCTAGATAAAGTATAGTACATTACGCGAGATGTTAAGCAATTACGCGGCTCGCGTGTACCCTCGTAACATGCTACTTACATCTGAGGCCCCTAGAAGCCATTTTGTTTAGTTTTTAGATAATCATTTTTAAAGTTAAAACCCTCATGTAATTTTGAGTCAAAATTGTTATTGTTTTATGACTTTGTTTTCCAATCTTAGAATTTAGTTATATCCCTTGGCTACCTTTTACAGTGGCCGACACGGAATTTTGAACGACATAACTTGGTTGTCAATGTATACATCTGTAAATAGCAAAGATACAATATTGAGCATTTTTGCTTTCGCTATCAAAATTACAATACTAGTGATAACCGAAAGTAAGGTTAGTTGTCCATAAAGAAAGTTTAGATTTTGATGTCAACGGGATGATAGTCGTTCAAAATTCCGTGTCGGCCACGGGTACCATCTATTTGTGTATTTCTTGCCTCATCTCTTGTAATATAATATACTAAAAAGTAAATTTTAAATTAATGTCCACTTCAAAATGTCAAATTGACCAATCACAAACCAAAATTGTCCAAACAAAAATCGAATCTAATTTCAAGATCACTTTTAAATTAATCATTAAAAAGAACGACACATTTTTGTGGGTAAAAGGCATAAAGGGATAAGTAAAATAAAAGCCATTTTTCAGTAGAGCCTTAAAAGATTGAAGTTAAAACGCATTTGCATTATTTCATGAAATATATTTATGGTTAGGGCAACTATAAGTAGGTATATTTCCTGAATTAATGTGAATTAAAGCTCTACTGAAAAAAAATTTTTTTTTGACTTATACCCTTATGCCTTTTACCCACTTGCACTTGACTCAATTGGAACACACAGTGTGTGGCAACGTGAGTTTTGTACTGAGGAGGTAAAGTAACATACAATTGTAAAGTGCTCAGAATTTAAATTAAAATATTGTTAATTTAAATTTTTAGTAGTTTTATTTTAAAAATGTGAACAAAGAAACTACTGGGTTCTTTATTCCCTCCACTTCAAGAAGAGTAATGCAAAAAGAATGTGCACATAGCATATTATGCAGTATTGGTAAGGAAAAGGCAAAAATCTTAGCTTACTTTAAAGTGAGTGAATCAAAAAGAACTCACACTCACATATTAGCAATTTTACTGATGTGAGCTGAGATTAACTGAATCGGAAAGAACACAGCTAGGTATTAATCTTGGTATTAATAAAAGATCTTCAAGGAACAAAAAATATATGACAAGGTCTTCTAATAAAAATTGGAATTAAATTGTGGCATAAATTAATCAAAAAAAACTTGAATATGATTAAGAATATGTATAAAACTTACTGGTCCCATTATTGTTGCTTGCCAGTGAAATACTAAAAATAAAAAATTAATTATACTTTGCTTTTTGAGTAAAATCCTTCACTTACAATCATCTCCAACAGGACCTGCTGAACATTGTGCTGGAGGGTCTCTGCCAAGATCCTGTAATTCCTAAAACAGTAATAATATTCTTAGTAACATAAATCATGAACTAGAAAATTTGCTGTCAAAATCTATTTATAGTGACAAATGTACATCAAATATAAAAAAAACCTTTTCAATGAAAAGAAATACCTAATATGGGTGATATTTTATTAACAATTTTCACACTGCACCTCAGACAAAAATCGTTAAGGGCGTTTAAATCCGGCAAACAATAAAAAAACAACATTTTTATTCAATATTATGCCAAAGTAAAGTTAAACGTACCTTATTAATTCGTTTTAAAGCCATTTGATGTCTAATATGTGTAATAAATACTGGCTTTTTACCAGACAATGAAACGGTGAGCCAAGGATCTCCAATATTAGATTGCAAAGATGGCCTCCTTCAAAACTTACACACGACGTAAATTATTTTTATCAAAAATACTAAACTTTAACACGATGAATCTTTCTAAGATTACACACTTTACATTAAATTACTATTAAAACTATAACGCTGTAAGACACTAATATATTTTACAATTATCAATTTATACGTTTTTGATGACTTATCACTTCCGTGACGACACTGCTATATAGTGTATTTTATCTATAATGTTTTTTAGGATGGTTGTAATTGAGGTTATGAAGCGTTATAATGTAATTAAATTTACACTTTTTGCCATTATTAATAATTATGTTAATAAAATATAAAATAAAACAATGACTTTTATTTTTTTTAAGCATAAAATCGTCAAAAATTATTTAGATTCAAAATGACCTTAAAAAGTTTGTGTTTATAAAACTAGTTTTATATAGATTGGGTTGGTAAAACAGAAACCCTATATTGTATGAGCGTTGATTTACTAAACGTATTGATTGATTTTATAGTTTAAGAGGGAAACGTTAAAAGTTTTTTTGAAAGCGGGTTTTTTAAATTAAACGTGAAGTATTCTCTTATTAATTCATATTATATGAATTAAATGGGGAACTCATATTTTTTTCTCTAATAATTGTGCTGCGCTTCCAAAGTGTACAGTGCTCTTTTAAGTTTTGGTATAAAGTCTCATTTCCACTGGTTTTCTTTGAAAACGATTTGGCTGTTTATCTAGCCATTTGAAATCGGTTTCATATAGATGCGAAATACGAATATTCGCATTTCGCAACTCCTATTTCATATAGATGCGAACTATTTTAGGGACATTTTTTTCTCAGTAGGTGATATTTGCCATGGTATTTTAGGGACTTAATTTTCTCCCCAGGCGATATCTGCCATACTTCGTTAACATTTTCTATTTGTTGTTTTATGTAAATTGAGATTTTGTGTTTTTATTATGGATGAACAATTATGTTCGGTGAATTATTATACCATTGGCGACGAAGGCGTGCAGTGGCGCTTATTTATTTTTGAAAGACAGAATTAATTAATACGCATATGCGCACATATGTGCTTCACGAAAAATTAGTGCGATTTTCGCAAAATATTGGATCAATCTCAAGATTCCCGCCCCCAAAATTTAAATCTTGCGAATTTGCAGGATATGTCGAAACGTCAAAACGCTTTTCCCGCCAAATCAAATGGACCTATGAAAACATTTTTCGTATTTCGCATCTATATGCGCATTGCGCAATCATGCTGAGCATGACATGCTCTGGCCAAATAATCAGAAATAGATTAGGCCAATACCTGAAGAAGAAGAAGAAACGATGCCAACTTTGCCAAATAAAGTTCTTCTTCTTCTTCTTTATTCTTTTTGGCTTTTCCCTTCCGGGATTTGGCCAGCTGACGCCTTTGTTTGTAGCTGGGGAGGAGCGAGTCTAGGAGATCCAAATAAAGTTCGATCTAGCGCAATTTTGATGCATTATGCATACATCATGTATATAATTTGACAGCGCACCATTTGTTTCAACCACGGTCATCTATGGGTCTTGCAACTTCGCCCAATTTCAATAGGAAAAGTGACCTCTCTAATGAGACACCCACCAGATGGCGCATCGAGTTGGATGGATAAACCATAGATGTTTAAAGGTCGTTTTTACCTTCTTTATCTTTGGGTTTTACAATCGTTAGATCTAAGCTTATCGATAAGCTCTCTGGCGGATAATTTTCTAAGATAGAAGGTTTCTATGAAAGTTATCCGCCAAATAAGCTAACTTAATCTAACGATTGTAAAACCGGCTCTAAGTCCTTAAAGTCTATGGGATAAAAGGTCAAATGAACTACCTACTTATGTTCTGTGAAGAAACATAACCTACATTTTTGTTACAGGGAGTTTTTACTTATTGTTATTGTGATATTCGTTATTGTTATATTATATTGTTCTATTTTTTCTTGTTATATTTGTTCTTGTTATACATTTGTATTTGTGCTTTTTAATAGACATGAAGTCCTGTGTTGTGCCAAAATGTAACCAGCAAAGCTATCGTTCTGGCATTAAAATTAAGCGGTCCATGTTTAAAGTGCCAACAACTAAGGAGCGGTTAAAAACATGGCAATGTGCAATAAAAAACATATTATTGACACCTTCACATTTTGTATGATTATTATATAATTAAGCACATCGTGTTGGTGAAATATATATTATTTTAAATAAACAATCAACCCATCCCCGCCAAGACAATACAAAAATTGGTTATTAATAAATTAGCCAGAATATTGGTTCAACCAACGAATTTTTAACTAAATTAGCGGCTAGTTTGTAAACCAACCAAGGATCTTGGCTAATTTACTTGAAATTATTTAGGAATAGCTGGATAATTTGTAAACTATCTATCTAATATGAAAACCAAAATTTCTAGTAACACAACATAGCCAAGCTTTACAAACTAACCAACCAATTTGGTTACCTCTCTTACCGCTACCTATAAATTGTTTCGTACAATATTCAATGCCGAACTCGGCTACCGCTACCGCTACCTTTACCGCTGCCTCTACCGTTACCTTTAAAACTATAAATCCGGCTTTAAGCTGGATTTATAGTTTTAAAGGTAACGGTAGAGGCAGCGGACCGCTGCCAGCGGTAAAGGTAGAGGTAAAGGTAGCGGTAGCGGTAGCCGAGTTCGGCATTGAATATTGTACGAAACAATTTATAGTTGTCAGAGGTAGCGGTAAGAGAGGTAGAGGCAAGAAGGTAGCGGCAAGAGATGACCATCTTTCAACTTTTCTTACCTCAATCGCTACTCCAGCCAATCACACGGCAGTTTTCAGTTGGCAGCCTCGCCTTGTAAGTTTAGTTTTTATGCGAGGGGCAACCAGACTTGATAATTTGTCAAAAATGGTCACCGTCATTTGTGTATTTAAAGAACTACTCTTTATCGGTCAATTTTATTTTATTTTAATACTGGAAATGGCGTTTCTTAGCTTGTTCCCGATTTAATTCCCTCGTTTTATAGCGACGTACTTGACGTCCCCCATAACGTACTTGAAACCCTGCAATACAACATAATATATTGTATATATAATATATTGTGTTGCAGGGTTTATTATATAATATTTCGCACAACGCCATACCTATGGCCCAGAAGTACAGCATTGTCCTTGCAATTCATGTTTTCATAGAAAACTTAACCTTTTGCTATTAAATTTTAGAAACAAAATTACAATCTGCATTAAAGTACGCATGCGCCGTCAGTACCGCTACCGCTACTTTCTGAACTATAAATTGCAGAAAGTGATACCGCTACCGCTACCTTTACCTCTACCTTTACCGCTGCCTCTACCGTTACCTTTAAAACTATAAATCCAGCTTTAAGCGTGGAATGGTCCTCCTGTGTTAAATTTTTAGGTTAGATAACCAACAAAAAACAGTAATTTTGTTTAGGGCAACACTGTTTCCATTTGGTTTGCAGCACTGGTAACCGATTTAACCGATCATACAGCGTCGGTCGTTTCGGTTTCTTAACTACATAATTTTCAGGAGTTTTTCATTTACGGGACACCTTAACCGAAACCAAACCAACCAAGTTGACTTACGGAACATACCCTAAAATTTTTAAAGGGCGACCAATTGGTTAGCACCCTGTGCGGTCAGCTATTTTCTATCATTTACTCGTTGATGAGGTTTTTTATTCAAAGCTACAAAACAATTTATATATTATAACAAAACGAAAACTTGTAGGTCCAGTTATTGTAATCCATTTGCAGGAACAGATCTGTTACAATTGTAATAGACTGGCAACACTGCACATGTGCCTATACCTAGGTAAAAATTTAACTTAAGTTTCTTTTCTCAATAATAATACGCCTATAACGCATGCGTGTCTATATCAAGTACTTTGATTGGTTTGACATGAGACCTTTACGGTGAAAAATAAAACTTGAAAATTTCTACGGGAGGAAGAAAGGGCATTCTTAGAGCACAGGAATCTATAAACAGCACTACGGTTTTCGCATTGTTCATCTTCTACGGGAGGAAGGAAGGAAGGAAGGCAATTTATAAAACAATGAAAAAAATAATTTGGAGTAAGTATGTAGTAAAAAATAAATAAAATGGGCAATGTAGTACATTACATTTTCTACGGTAGGTAGAAAATTAGGTAGTAAACACCTTGCCAACTCTAGCAGCTGCTCTTAAGTCAAGAAGTTACATATAGGTATGTGACTTGCTCAATGAAAAAGTCGTGAAATATATATATTTCACGACTTTTTTATTGAGCAACCGAACATCATGAGCAACAGAACGGTCTAACCTCACATTGTGAGGCTTATTAATTCAAATTTGTAACGTTTTGAAGAAGGCAAACCATTTTTTGTCAGATGCACGACTTAGAAACGCTGGTGTACAGTTTTCCTCATTATTAATCATTAATAAGCGCTTCTCTTAGAAACTATAATTATATTAGGGACATGTCTCTTGGTTTAAAAATATAATTTCGCGTGTGTGGCATGTTGATAAATAAAAATTGTCGAGAAGAAACTTGGCAACACTGCCTATTAGTTTTATTGATTTGGTAGTGATATTATTTTTTTTAAATATTATGTAATTGTTTTAAAACGTTGTAATGGGTTATTTTTTGTGGTAATAATAATATTAGATTAGTTTAAAGACTATTTTGTTATTTTTTTGGTTATTTACAATACAAAAATACTAATAATACAAAAATATTTTTTGATTAACGTAGTACTTCCGCTCAATATGTACATCCCTGTTCTTGCTCGACAAGTCGGTTTTCTCTTTCAAAAAGCAGTCGCCGGTCAGTGTACACCTTTACACATAAAATATAGCTTTAGACTTGCTAGACATTTGTCTAAGAAAATGGGTCTACCAAAAGTTTATTTTGATATGGCTGCCGACGATCAACCTGTTGGTAGAATTGTTATCGAGGTAAGTAAAATATTCTCCATTAAATAATTAGGCAATGAACCATCACCATGCTTGTTAAGTTATATTCCTTTGATTTGATTAGATGTTTAATTTAACAAAATAATCGTTTTAAATTGGGCAACTACATGTTTAATGTAACTCTTGATGGGGTTGCTTTTGAATTAAAACAATACTTAACAAATAAAAAGTGAAAAAAGTGCAACTAAATCATTAGAATATACTATGTGACTAGGTCACAGTGACCTTGACATTGTACAATCTTAAAAAAAATGAGGAAACTAAAGTATA